TTTGCATAGTAAAATAGAATATATATGTTGCTGTATACATATCATTTTAACAACTAACAAATTCAAAACTTTGAAAACTTGAAGTTGTAGAAAATATAGGTAGCTTAATACTTTGTTGTTTATGTTATACAAAATGACATAAGTATCTATTTTATTTAGTAATTAAGAAATTATTATGTCTTAAGTAAATTTAATTAAATCTTGGTATATTATGAAATTAATTTAATCTCTTTGTCTCTTCCTCTCTGTCTCTGCATTTGCATACAAGTATGTAATAAATTAATTATTTTAACTTGAATATCACATATATGTACACACACACACACACACACACACACACACACAATATATATATATATATATATGTATCGTATATATATATATCATGATACAATATTGCAATTAATATAATTAATAAGTTTCAATACATCTCATTTAAAAAATATTAATTAAACTATAATATAAAAATTAAATATAATTATAAATCGTAAAGCAAATTTTTGATATTCGATTTATATAGTGCACAATAATAGATTTCAAAAAAGTTTGCATGGAAATAAGAAAAGTACCACGATTTATTGCATAGTAATTGAGAATCGCAATTCAAAACGGCGCACCGTCAGCCGCTATCGATATTTTATGACTTCACTCTCTGCACTGCGTAAAATATTTCATTACGTGACCTTAACTATATCAAACGCAAGGCACATCGATGGAATGACCGAGACGAATTAAACGAGGGCGTGTTTTGGTCCTTTGTGTTTTGCGCCGCGAAAATAAATCTGTGCAATCGCTATGTATATAAACACACGTAACAATTGGTTACTTATTTATATTGATTATAATTATTACATTATATTATAGGACGATAAAGTTTCAGTTATCAAAATTAAAAGCTACTATACAATACGCAATATCAAATGTAGAGATATTGTATAAGATAAATAAACCAGAGACTTATACACGGCCTAGATTTATCTCAATTACTTCATTTTATTTTGCTTTTATTTATTTCTCTCTTCCCTCCACCCTCCGTTTATAGTGTTAATAAAGGAACATATATATATATATATATATATAGATAGTTTTAAAAACTAAGAAATCATTATTTATATTTAGTGAAAGGGCGTAAAAAGAAATTGCTCCACAATTTGATCAATGATTGTTAACAAATTTTAAATGTTATATTCCTTACCTTTTTAAAAATCGATAAAAATATTAATTTTCAAATCACAAAGAATTCCTTATTCCAGTAACTCGTTCTTGAACTATCATTCAAGGTACATCGTTAGAAAAATTTAATTATTTGAAAGTTTAATATTTTTTCCTTCTTTTGATAAATTTATTCGGTTTGCCGACCACCGACCCAGTTGTATACTAAAAAAACAGTAGGATTACCAACTCTACAAAATCGAATCTATTTGAACCTATTTCAGGTTTGAAACTCTCATCATTGAAGACAGGTTGGTATGATTAGGAAGTTACCAACGCTATTTTGTTTCCCTAGCCATTTTGTTTCGGCGCTCGATAGAGGTCGTCACAGAGGGAAGCGCGGCACGAGAGAAAAAAGCCGGAGAGCCGAGAGCAGCGCACGTCTTCACACTTTACGGTTTTCAGTACATACGTATATGCGTATATCCGGGAGAACATAACCTCTAAGAAAGAAAGAGAGAGAGAGGAGACAGATAACTCAGTATCTACCTACGGATGAACTGTCAATTCTGGTGCACAGAGGGGCGTGTTTTGCGATCGTGAGGAGAGGCCGAGGAAATTCGTGTAGACTGACCAGAGTCCGCGAATTTCCGTGAGCACTGGCGGCATACACGTCACACGATCGCTCGAACGGCAGAGTCTCGTTTAATAAAATTTAATCAACGACCGCGCCCGTCGAGCGTGTCCTGTGTTCACCTCGAGTTCTCTTCGAGTGTTCGCTGATTCATCATCGCTGCCTTCGATAGTATTCGACGTCCCACGCAATCGTCTTGAAACATCTTCTTTTATCAAGAGTAATCGCGAAATGACGGAGGTCTACAACTTGGGTGTCGATGCCATCAGCTGTCACGCGTGGAACAAAGATAAAACTGGTACGGAAGAATTGGAGAATATCGTCCTTCCCTCTAATAGATATCCCCTTCCTCTCTAGGTAGTTACTAATTAGATTGTATTAGTGGATGCGATAATGAAGCACACTCTCTGTTGTGACAGAGGTTGCCGTATGCCCAAACAACAATGAGATCCAAGTGCACAAACGTACTTCATCCGGATGGAAGTTACTCGAAACCTTGGAGGAACATCACATGGCTGTCATGGGAATCGACTGGGCGCCAAAAACCAATCGCATAGTCACCTGTTCCGCAGACAAGAATGCCTATGTATGGACTCAGAAAGAAGACGGCAAGTGGGATCCCGCTTGGGTTCTTTTGCGAATAAATCGAGCCGCTACTTGTGTAAAATGGTCTCCTTTAGGTATACATATACCCTCTATGCGCGTCTGAAAAAGAATTTACTTCAAATTTGTTACAGCTCTGTACAAAGATTGTCATTACAGAAAATAAATTTGCTGTGGGTTCCGGAGGACGAGTTATAGCTGTTTGTTACTTTGTATCAGAGAATAATTGGTGGTTATGTAAACACATTAAGCGTCCATTGAGGTCTACGGTAACTACCGTTGATTGGCACCCCGATAATAAGGTTCTGGTCGCGGGATCGACGGACTACAAAGTCCGTGTCTTCAGTGCATTTATCAGTGATATGGAGGATGCTCCAGGTACTAGTCCTTGGGGACAGAGTAATACCTTAGGAACATTGCTGGCTGAGTTTCCTAATACACCCAACGGAGGTAAAACCATCATCTTTTATTCTATTACATTTTAATTATTTTTGTATTCACATTTGAAATATATGAAACATATTGTATAAATACATATATATTCCCTGTATATATTATAAAAAATTGCATTTTAATCATTGCTTTTATAGGTGGCTGGATACATTCAGTAGCATTTAGTCCATGTGGCAATAAAATCTGTTGGGTAGCGCACAACTCGTCCGTATGTGTCGCTGATGCTACTAAAGGAAATGCAGTCATGAGACTATATACAGAGCATTTACCGTTTTTAAGCTGCATTTGGATAGGTTCTAATAATATTGTTGCTGCTGTAAGCTATTCTTAAGAGATTATCTTTAAGATTATTCGATAGTAATATTTATTGCATTAATTGATAACCCTCTCTCTATCTCTCGCTCTCCTTTTTTCTCGTAGGGGCATAGCTGTATGCCAATGTTATATTCCTTAGATGACAACGGACAAATATATTTTGTTTCAAAGTTGGACAACACGCAAAAAAAAGAGATTGCCGGATTATCTGCTATGCGAAAATTCCAATCGCTAGATCGACAAGCGAGAAACGAGACGAATGATAATGCTTTGGATAGCGTGCATCAAAACACAATCAACTGCGTTCGCCGAGTATCCGATCATGAATTTAGCACAAGCAGTTTAGACGGACAACTTGTAGTTTGGGACTTGAAGGTAATTTGTATATTTTAATGTTATATATAAATATTAACGGTACATTTTTTTTTCTAATCGATCTTTGTCTTTATCAAGCTTCTAGAGAATTCCATTGCTGGTCTCAAGATAGCGTAAGCATAAAACTTTTTTTATATTACAAAGATCAGAGATATTACATCCAATACAACGATGTATAAATGTTAAAATGAATACTATACAATTTCTCATTAATTAATTGCCTCATTAAATTTCCCACGTCATATCGCGATTCCTATCCTCTTGAAAAGAGAAAAGTGCCATTTACTATTTATTGCGGTACGTGATGATCCGATAACGCAAATTTTGTAAGACGGTAATATCGGCTATTGACGTCATCAATAGATACAAGGTGTCGGAAAAGTGCGAATGAGTAGCTACAGAATATCTTTATCACACATATTTATATATGGTACTTGTGTACTATTTTACTAATCTAATATCATGAAAAATATCAATTCTACTTGAGAGATAAATCAAGTAGTACTCAAGAGGTCTTAATGAATAAAGCATGTAATAAAGCCTAGAAAAATAGAAAATCGATAAATTAAACCATATTCTATTTTTACCAGAAGAATAATTATATCACATAAAACGAAAAAAATCTTTATTCATATATCGAAAATTGAGTTTTAGCTCTTTTATATTCCGCATTAACATGAACGTTCCCATTTCGTATGAAAATTTTAAAGATACGATACACAATTCCAAGATCTTCTATTGTGATGATTTATGAGTAAGTATAGCGATTGAAGGGCAAGTGAATCCGCCATCGGCAGGTAAGGCGTAAGTAGCTGGTACACGTCGCACGTCGCACGTCGCACGCCGCACGCGCCAGAAAGGCAGCCGATAAGTGAGGGTGGGGAAGTGGCAACCGGATAAGTTGAGCAACACGACAGCAACGCAAATATCGATTCAGTCTCGCGCAGTCTCGCGCAAACCACCCTTACGTGTGCAACGGCAGCGGTGCGCTCGAGACCTCGAGAGTCAAATTTCGCTTTTGCCATGCCCGCAATGCCATTGCTATTGCCCGCCACCACGTAAACAGAGACGTACAGGAATATATCGCTGATACAGGCATACGAGGCATACGAGGCATACGAGACATTACGAAACAATACGAGGTAGCTCAGCTTGGCATCGTCAATGTCAGCCGTGCTGGCCGTGCATCACCGGATATCCCGCGAATTACGTGGCGGGTTATTCCGCGCCGATCGCGATTATTGATTCTCGTCGGGTAACTTGTGCTTTTATTTTCCTTTCTTTTTCGCTTCTTTTTTCAAGACCGAGATGGAAGGATCATGTAGGATCATCGCTATGACGCGCGCTAAGAAATAGAAAAAATAGCGTAAATTTCACGGGCGCGCGCGCGCACGCGCGCGCACGCACGCACGTTATCATCATCATCCCTTCGCTTCGTATGCGCGCTATCATCCCCCCTGAATTAAGTTCTCATTCGCGCGAGGAAGACTCGGACTCGGACTGTTATAGGTATCGGATCGGATCGAATATGAAGCGATCCCGTCGTCGGCAGATCGTATCGTATTACTCTTGACTACGAAGCGCGGACGCAACTAGACGCAATTGAACCCGACAACAAGTGCGGAAAGAGACAAGAGAGAAAGAATAAGAGTGCCTCATCAAGATATCATGTCTTCGATATCGGCGCAGGGCGTCGTCGAGCGTGCCAGCGCCGAACTAACCAAACGAATCAATGGCCTGGGATTACGGACGTCAAAGCATCATGGTCGGTGTTGAAACGTTTCCTCTTCGTTCCATACATCCTTTCGTCCTTGCCTTGCCTAGCCTTGCCTTCTTCCTCATATATATCGTTGATAGCGTGCATAACATGCGCCTTGGTTTCGACTAATTCGATTTTTTTCTTCGCGCGACACTCGCCGCTCGCGCAGGGAAAGATATCGCCCTCATCGTGGATCGGTTCCGGTTTATTTTCCGCTTGAACGGTAAAAAACGGATAAAAATTTAAATATAAAAAGTCGCCAATCCCGCGATTTTTCTCGACCCGTCTCAAACCTCCTTCGCTTTAGCTTGGTCCTGTTATTACGTAATTGCGATATAGAATCGATCTCTTTGCGAATATTATGCTCGTCCCTCGTTCCTTTGTCTCTTTATTTTTATCTATCCCATTCGAGCGACGCGACACGTTTATTGCGTCGAGCGCAGCGATATAATAAAACTCGTAACTCTTGCTATACGCAATATTTTTTCCATTCCATTATTTAAGCGACATCGCTACGTAACTTTCGTCGCAATCATAACTGCAACGAAATCGATAGCACACGTCCTCCCTCGTGCACGCAAAAATATTAGCGGCGACACTGCAAGCTCGAGTATATAACGAAACGTTTTTAGAGTCATATTTATTCGGCCATTTAGCTTTACGGTAATCGTGGCCCTCCCACTTCCTCGATCGCGCGCGATGGGAAAATCCTATCCAAATTGTCAGATTTTAAAATCAAATAAATTTTATTCAGAGTTTAACTCCTCGGTCTGAATTCTGAGTCACGTTGATTTTTTTCCCTGCTAAATCGTGTTATTTCAACCGCGATTGATCGCCAATCGTCATGTTGAAAAACGCGCTGTGTCTTTGCGCCGTAATTATATTATTATTTATAAACTTAAAGATGTGTGCAAATAAAAAATATCTATGGAAAACTCTTTAGAGAGTAACAAAACAGCAACGAAAAGCAGTAAAAAAAAATCTTATAGCCTTTATGGTTACAAGTGCATACAAACGCAATAAAATTAATTGTATTAACAATTATTGGCTACTTTAGTTGGCTAATTATTGATTCGAGAAATACGATTTAGCTTCAAAATTGAATTTGCGTATTTATAAATATAATTTAATTTTTTTATTTTCTATACGATGTATCTTTGAGGCTAAAATATTCAACTGTCGGATTAAACTTGGAACATTATATAGAATCAATCGAAAATTTTTTTCTCGAGTTTATTTTATTAACTTAATATTACGAAGGCATTTATTTTTTTAACTTAACGTTTGTTAAATAATCGAAAAGAATTGTTTTCTTGAATAATAGAGAATTATGTAAACACGGAATGCACAACTCGCACACATGCATGTATGTTAAAAATACGTACAAAAATCTCATAAATGTAAAATTTTGCCATTGCATCGATCTAATTACTTGAATAATTATAATTGATCTTATCGCCATTTGTATATGATAAGCCCATCGAGTGCAGTTGCTAAAAATAATTTGCAAGATAAATGGCAACAGGAAATAGCGGTGTACCACGAGCCAAGTTACAGCTTGAAAGAAAAACAAGAATACCTAGGAGTCTTAAGTAATCTAATGTAATATCAGATTTTTCGCTGTAGAGAAAAATCTTGCATTATGTTAAATTAAGACTCCTGGGCATTCTTGTTTTCTTCCTCTATCTGCCCCCCCCCTCTCTCTCTCTCTCTCTCTCTCTAAAGAGAAAAAGTAAGAGTTTTAAATCTCGCTTAAAGTAAAAATAATGCCTTAGAGTTGGTTAATGTAATCTGCCACCTTATACGTTATATTCTATAAATTCCGCAGATCCCTTCCTTTCACGATTATGAAGTTTATAGATTTTCAATTTCTTTCAATTCAACAAACTTTTTAGAATTTCACAAATAATAAAATTCAAGATAAAATAGAGTCTGTAGAAATTCTTAATTTTTGAATTTATTTGTAAAATCCAGTGTACATATATGTATAAATCTTTTTTCAAAATCCTGCAATTTATATTGTTTTTATCCTTTCGTTCCTTTGACTTTTCCGCTCCTTTAGTTTTGCAAATTTTTATTTTCACAAATTTTTTTAGCTCTGCAAATTCTTGGACAAATTCTATCCGAGGTTCGTTTGTTTCCTTAAACTCTGAATTTTCCACTCACTATTCCAATTACTGTTTAATCTGCAAACTTGCTGCCTTCCTGCAGAACACAAACTATATCAGTAACACTGAAGGTAACTCCTTAAGAAAGGAAAGAGAGACATTATAAAAAAAATTCAATATTAATTGTTCTAATTAAATTTTAGTAGATAAATATAATTGTTAATGAAACATATATGAACAATATTATATTATTATATTTGTAAATTAAATAACTAACAAGACTTAATGTAATGTATAACATGAGATCACAACAAAAATTATATTAACTTTTATACGAGATCTCACATTTCATTTTTTTTAATTGTACTTTTCTAGTAAAAAAGAAAGTATTTTATGAATATTTTATGAAAGTATTTTCTGGATTTTTAAATAAGAAAATCACATTAGAAAATTGATGTGAAAAATATACATATTTCATATTTAAAAAGGGGACAATTCATAATTATGTCCTTAATTTGGAACAAAATTTGGGACGCGTAAAGTGGAACGAAGAGTTAAAAATTAAAATTGAGATTGATCACGTTACATTACATCAATATATATTATAATTTCCCATTCAATATACTGCAGTTACGTTAGAAATTATAAGCTTGATGTAACATTAACTATAATTTGTGTTCCGCGAGTTTTTAACGCGAACGGAAAATGTTGAAACTGGCCTGAAATTTTTCAGGGAGCGGCAAGACCAGCGTGATGGAACGCGTGACAAACGTCTTCTGCGGCGGCAGTGGTAGCGTCGCTTACATGAATTTGCAAAGCGCGAATAATGCGAATGCGATGCCCGAAAAGCCCAGTCGAAGTGCCGCACAGACCATTAACAACGTACCAGCAGGCAACAATAAGGAACGCTTGAATAACGTCACCCCGAGCAGAAGTAGAATACCCAGAAATAGGATGAAGATAGCCGTTCCCCTGGCCAGTGGAGGAACCGGCGGTTACATGCCACCGATTACGTGGGAACAGCTGATGCAAGACGATAACTTCCTTGGAAAATTTTTTCTCTTCTTTAACGCTACGGAAAGAAGAATCTTGGCTCAGGTACGTGAAATTCTTTATATTTCAATTATATACAATTAAAAAATTATATACAATGGCCATGCAGCAATTAAAAAATACAAAAAATATCTCGTAGCCCAATTTTCATATTCATAGTTCATCATAGTCAATTTCACAATATTGATACTTAACTTTTATATTTTATATTTTCCTCGCAGAATATTTGTATCGCGATACATATCGTCATCAACTTTTTCATTTTCAAATCAAATATGCATATATATATATATATCATATATATAAAGTTTAAAACTGCAGAAGTACTTTATGCAATTATCACATACATATATATATATATATATATGTATATGTATGTATATCCATTTAATCACATGATATTATCGTGACGTTATATGCATAGGTTTGCACGAGATGGAGAGACGTTTTGTATGCGAGACCGCGTCTTTGGACGGGACTGGTGCCGGTGGTGCGATGTCGCGAAGCTCGCGCTATGCAATCAAACGCACGTACCCGACTTTACGCTTCTTTAGTAAGAAGAGGCTTCGATTCGTTAGTTCTGTTAGGTGCGACCGACGAAGATATTCCGGAATTAACACGCGGTTTTCCGTTGGCTCAACGTTACGTGCATTCTCTGTCATTGCGGTGCTGCGCGGTGACGGACCGAGGTCTCGAAACTCTCTTGGATCATTTGCAGGTAAATTCTATGTCTTTATTTTCTATATTTTATCGTATTCTATCACAACGCTCATCTATTCTAGCTATACATATACATATATTCTAGCTATACATATAAAAGAGATCCTATAATTTTTCGTAATTCGAATAACGCTAAAAAATCGAAAAATTATAATATTTGAATAACAACATTGTCCAAAGATATACATACATTCTCGATTAGCTTTTACTTGAAAACAAAGATCGTTACTTAAATCCGCTCGCGCGGAAGATGTGTCACTCAACCAAGATTAAAGATTTAATTTGCGACACGAGGTAATTCCATAACTAAAGAGATGAATTCCCATTAAGAGGATTGTGAGATACGCAGAGATACGTTTGTCAAGTATAGACGCGCACAATACATGTCGAATCGACTTAATTACCATTTGGTTTGCCATTATTTTTAGGCTTTGTATGAGCTTGAATTGGCCGGCTGCAATGAGATAACAGAGGCTGGCCTGTGGGCATGCCTTACTCCCAGAATAGTGTCGTTGTCTTTGTCGGATTGCATCAATGTCGCCGACGAGGCTGTCGGCGCCGTGGCTCAGCTGTTGCCGAGCCTATATGAGTTTTCTCTGCAAGCTTATCATGTTACTGACGCTGCGCTCGGTTACTTCAGTGCAAAGCAAAGCAGCGCACTTAGCATCTTGAAGCTGCAATCCTGCTGGGAGCTCACAAATCACGGCGTAGTAAATATTGGTGAGAGTCATTATCATTTTATTTGGATATGTTTTGCCTGGAAGCAAAATTCTTTAATGAATTCTTTAATGAATTTATTTCTCATCTCAAGTTCTTTCTTATAGTATTCAAATGAAACAATATTAATGAGATGTTTTGGGAAATTTAAGATAAAAAGACAATCTATTCTTTGACGGACAGTTTTATCTTTAAAAATATGAAGACAAATTTACATTTGTTGAGATATACGATAAAACTTTGTTTTAAAAAAATTAAAAGTTAAAAATCTTTATTCATTGATTAAAATCAAACGATCAAGGCAAATCATGAAATTATTTTTGAAAAATACGAGCCTTTTGTCAAGTTTAAATTCTAATTGAACTTTTTGTTAATGACAAAATTAATTAGATGTAGAGCAATATAGTAATGGTCCGAAAAATTAAAACAGATGCATATGTGCTTAAATTTAGAATTAAGGGGAACATAGCTTTATTTAGCTGTTACCGATAGCTCAAGTTACAGTGACTCTGCTAAATAAGTGTATGTATTTTGTACATAACAAATGTATATATCTTATTTAAACGGAATATTGCAAAAGAGAATTATTTATGTCACTAATAAAATTTTATAATTCAAGTATTTTGAAACGTAAAATTAATTGACGTTTATTATTAATTTAATTTAATTAATTAATTAAATTTATTAAATAATTAAAATAAAAATATGGTAAAAAGAAGAATAAATATAAAATTAATTTCCACTTTAAAAAGTCAGTTGTAAATGTCACTATAAATATAATAAGCAAATTTTCATACTTTATAAATTTTTACACTTTTTTTAGTATAATTCCTATTCTAAAAATCAAAAAAAAATATCAGAATTCATAAACGACCTTCTTTGTAACTTTTTATCATTTTAAAATATTGTCGTATATACTTACATATATATATTTTTATATGTAATATGATGTATACTAAATTATTATATTCGTCTTTGTTTTAGTACATTCCTTACCTAATCTGACTGTACTGTCACTTTCTGGATGCAGTAAAGTAACAGATGACGGCGTTGAATTAATTGCGGAAAACTTGCCAAGACTTCGTTCCTTAGATCTCAGCTGGTGCTCAAGGATTACAGATGCAGCCTTAGAATATATCGCCTGTGATTTGAATAACTTAGAAGAACTCACATTAGATAGGTAAGACAAAATTATTGAAATATAAATGAATTTTCAATTATTTTCAATCAAGAGATTATCTATCATGATAATACATATGTACGCGTCTTGTTTATTATTTCATGTTTCTAACATATTGTGTGATAATTTCAAATATTGTTTTGATAATAACGCATTCATTTGTATCTCTTTTGCATCATATATATTTTGCATATTACTATATAGGTGTGTACACATTACTGATATCGGCGTCGGTTACATCTCCACGATGGTTTCATTGAGTGCTTTGTTTCTAAGATGGTGTTCACAACTTAGAGATTTCGGACTTCAACATTTGTGCGTCATGAGATCTCTACAAGTGTTATCTGTGGCAGGTAAGATCGCATTAATCAACTTAACTAATTAATAAATAATTTTAAGGGGATTCTAAAGTTTCTCTGTTTTACCAATTAAAATTAATAATAATAATAAAGAACTCTTGACATTAATAAAAAATAAATACAATAAAAGAGCATATAAGAGTCAATTACAAAATTATATTATATGTTAAAAAACCGAAATATTACACAATAGTATACAATATTCTGATTAATTATAATTAAGTTATGATATAACATGTTTCATTCTTTATATTAAACCCTCTTCAGATATTTGATAAATGTAAAGATATTATTAGGTGTTGGAATTAATTCGTAGCGTTTTACAAGAGATGGGAAGTGATGGGAAGTACTTTCATTAATGTATTTTTTAATGCTCATGTGAAATAAATAACATTCTTTCATTAAAAAAACGCTACGAATTAATTCCAACACCTAATATTATACATAATCGAACAGTGTTAATAGAAAAGAAATACATTATAAATGCATGTCGTGAGAACAGTTGAACAGAGGAACGGAAATTGCAAAAGGTTGGAAGGCCAATTGAAAAAAATTTCATGATGTTCTAATAAAATTATAAATTTCATTAATTATTATCAAATAAAAAGCAAGTAAATACGTCACCTCGGTAGAACACTCACCAATATGTTAAATATATTAATATAATTCGATGATACTCGTCAACATTCTATTATTCAATGTGATAATAAATAATATATAGCCGTAGTCAGAAAGTAAAATCCACAAAGTCATAAATTATGTAAAATTGAATTCTTCAATAAATAAACGTTAAATTAAATATGAAGATATAAAATCAGTCCAAAAATAAAATTAAAATTATATGCCCTTTTTTTGTATTTATTTTTTTACCAATTAAATAGGACTTACACAGACGATTTACGTGTCATTGGGAACTTTCCAAGCGACATTGTGTAACACATCATTTCATCTTTGTTTAACATTGGCAAACAACAAGCATGTAATGATTCACTATATTACACTATCATTATGTCTCTTGTTGGAAAGCTCCCATTGATATAGTAGTACATCACTGTGTACTACTATCTCACGCACACGTATATATAAATTACACGTAATGATAACGTTTTGATTGGACCTCTAAGTTCAATTTTAAAAACTCCACGTTTCGTGCAAACTATTAATCTGTGGACAATGTGGACTACTATTTCATAAGTACAGGTTGCATAGTTTTTATATCAAGCAAATGTTGTCACGACAGTTATAAAGTTATATTGCATATTGCAATAAGAATAATGGTAAAGCTCTGTTTCAAATTTTTTTATCGTTCTTGATATAAACTCTACCTTACAGACATTAATGCGTCTATTTTAATCCCGAAAAAAGATTTTCGAATCTATAAACGAGGAAAAAATTAAGCGTTTATAAACGGTAAAACAGACATGTTTAGGATCCCCTTAAGTGACTTTTCTTGTGTGATGAATTTATTCATTAACTATTGTAAATTTTGTTAATAAATTATGAAATTTTTTTTTACATCCACATTAGAAAAACGAAACTTTTTGGAAAATTTCTATAAAAATTTTTTAAATATACATTCTTCAGGAAGAGAGAAGAAATCTTTCTATATAGAAATCAATTATAATATTAGTTAAAATAATTAGAAAAGTATGTCATTTCAATACAAATATATATATATTGGGTCATCTAAAAAGTATCCGCGGTACTTTGTCACTAGATATATGACCATCAACACACATCTAGTGACAAAAAACCGCGAATACTTTTTAGATGACCCAATAATAATAGGTATATTATTTTTATTAATTTATATGTTACATACGTATAATTTTGCTCGTGCAAAAAAAGTTAAGACAATTATATAAATTTAATTGCATATTTAATTTAACATAAATGTATATATTAAATAACATTCAATTTCACACAGGTTGTCCATTGCTCACAAGTAGTGGTTTATCTAGTCTGATACAGCTTCGACACTTACACGAGTTAGAACTAACTAATTGTCCAGGAACGTCCCGAGAACTGTTTGACTATTTACGTGAACATTTACCACGTTGCCTAATCATCGAATAAATATTTAATAAAAATATCTGCGAATAAAATTCTTTATGATATACAAACGTATGTGTCAAACAGAAAGAATTAAACTGCGAGAAACAGATCTTAATAGAAAAAATTCGCAGAAAGCAATATTTTGAATGAAATATGGAAGCAGTGTAACTGATAGCAGCATAAGAAGTAACTGACGTCCAGATAATGAAAGAATTACGTTTTCCTCGTAATGGTCTAAGAGAATACTAGCCCTCAATATATAATGCGTAGGCATTTTTAATACATTAACGTCCCATGCACTTCCGTTCGTTTCGTATTTTTTCATTCTACCATGTAATCATGTTCTACGGGCATGTAAGATTGCGATTGTATCTATATCGATTAGATAAAACAGAAAGAAGACTCAAGCATGTAATGATCATGTACAAAAATGAATTCAATATTGTACATTAGAAAAGATTGATAATGCATCAGAGATGAGAGATCAGTGATTCCTTCTTTTTGCCTCCTAGTAATATAGAAAATCCAAATAAATATATAGCAAAAGACTCAACAGTTAGAACTGTGATAAATTTATATTGTACATAATTCTAATTGGTTCGCATACATTTAAACTACATTATATCAAGAGCATTTGACGGACGCAATAGCCGCAAAGAAATCATTTGGTTAATGAATTTAAGACATTATTTATTTAAGTAATTACATATTGTTGTTGCTCGATGTTATTGTCTCCGCCAAATACGTCTATCGTGCATTGTTCCATTCTTTGCGATTATAGTTGCAGTACACTTCACATGTTATTTGAAAGAAAGTATTTAGCAGATATCAATTACACAGAAGATAACATTCCAAGTCGTATTACCCAATAATCTATTCATGAATACATGATTCGTGTTATTTGTTTTGATACATAAATTATAGACGGGAAAATCATGCGATTCACAATTGTAGCATTCGCGATAAGGTGATAAACATCGTCATTCTTATATTATCTTCATATATCCCTATGCAATCGGTGTTTTCTAAAGTTTAAGACTTTACTAGCTGTATTCTTTGTGATTTCCAACTAAGTATATATTAACGTAACATATAATTAGATATATTTCACGGATTTCGCAAAATAATTTTAATAATTTGTGTGTTACGTCAGTATGTGTCGTATTACATCTTTTATTGATATATATCAAATAGATAAGCTCTATTAATGACTAAATAAGTGCATCGTATTAATCAATTTAAATAAGCACCACATTTCCGAGCTGCGCATAGGACAACAGCAATAGAATGCCAAAGAATGTTTTTCTTAATTTATTATTGTTGTATTTATTATTCAAGACACAAAAACATTTTTTAACGCATTACACAATGCAATATACACATATATCAATCTGTATTTTTTTAATTTAAGACTTTTCGCTAACATTCTTTGTTTTCGATTAAATAATATTAATGCAATATAATTGAGCTAGATATTTGCTGGAGGAAAGTCTGAAATTTAAGAAACATTGATTTTATAATTAATTTACAATGATTTTACAATTTATTTTACAATTTAATATTATTATATTGCATTATAAAAAATTTATCTTTAAAATAAATTGTTAAAATGCTGTTTTATGTGATGTAATGATTATGGATTATAATCATTGTAGCAATAGCTTTCTGGAATATATTCTGTTAAATTAAGTTACAATCTCTCAATACAAAATTTAATAATGACACGTAAAGATCATTTTTATGCGTTGTCACATGTTTGGCACATAATATATATATATATACCTTTGTATATATTGTACAAACTATACCTATATAATTCTGTTATCAATCAAAACTGAACGTAAATATATCTATACAGGCAAAGCTATATTGAAAAACTGAATCATTGTGAAATACTGCTCACAAATGCAACGTTTAATGATGACACAATACAATGGAATGTGCTGTGAAATAAAAATTTATTGACCAAAATTGTTTTTACTTTAATCATACATTCTAGTTTACTTAGGTTACCAAATAAATTAGTTTACCAAATCGTAATAAATTATGTATTTTGCCACCAGGTAAGTAAACCCAGGCCAGGCTCGTCAATCGATCCCTATAAAATATTGTTCTATTAACATATTGTCGATTAAAAGCGACATATATCAATAATAAAACATTAAAAATTTGTAAACATACATGTAAAATGTATGGCGCAGCGTTATTGGCTTCTGCCTTTTCACTTATATCTTGAGATGCATTAAGTACTGATGGTAAAGGTGCTTCCGTAAAAATTTCTTTTACTATCCTAAATCGTATAACTTCTCCTAAAATTTAATGTTTCAACTTTAATATATTTTCTATTATATTAAATTATATTAATTCTATATTTAATATATTTTCTTAAATTAATATATAATGCTCTTGCATGCACATATAAGACCTGCATCCATAAATAGATCATGTGTTTGTCCATCTTCAGTCTTGTATATCCAAACCCATGCTTGTTCCATTTGATCAAAACGTGACGGATGCTGTAACTTATGAGGTGGTATGACTATATCTTCAAAAAATCCTAATGTAACTGTAACAAAATAAAATGTATATTAATATCAAATGTATATTGATCCATTTGATGAAATGATTTATTACTTTATGTCAGGACAGTTGATTTGTACAATTGGTCCCAAATTTGATTCTCTTATTCTACATGTACACATGTACGCATGCACATACACAAGGTGTCTCAGAATGATCACCATATTTTATGTGCTGATACAGTAGATTAAACTGAGTCGAAAAGTTCTTAAATTAATATATAATATCTTTTACAACTTTTACAATAGTTAACAAGATATTAATTATTAAAAATTGCCAAATATTGGTTCTCATTAAATTTTTACTCAAGTACTATCAACTTTATAGAAAAAAAGTAACAAAAATTGTTAATTTTCTTCTCGTAGAATTACGAGAATTTTTTTAATTTGTTTAAAGAATTTGTCAGTACCGCACATTTTCTTATATTGGTAAAAAGAATTGCCAATAAAAAAATACAGTATTAAAAAGTTGATAAAAAATTCTAAAAAAATTCTTAGAGTTCTATGAAAAGAAAATAAACAATTTGTGTCATTTGCTATTTTTCTGTAAATTTGAGCAAAAAATTTACGAAAACCAAAATTCGATTTTTTAAAATAATTAATATCATATATTCATATTTATATTATTAACATCTCAGATGGTCTCAGATCAATTACAATTAATGTCCGAATGTTTCGACGCAGTCACATTTGAAATAATTAAATTTAAAAATTAAAAATATTTTATATCTTTAACATCTAACTTTGACCCATTATTGATGTTCTCTATCATACTAATTAATATGATATAATATAATAACCTTTTTTAGAAATCCATATATTAAATACAAAGAATAAATATTAGTAACATACATAATAAAAAATTAAATTATATGACAACATAATAGCGCCTTAGAATCGGTCAAAGTTGGAAGTTTCATTATTAAATTATATGAACAGACTGTTACCATGTACTCCCTCAGGACTACAACTACGAATTTTTCCTATTAATATTTCTTCCATCCATGGACGAAATACAATAAATCTAAATGTTACTTTTGTATGGGAAGCTCCGTCTCCTGGAAAAATATATGATTCTTCGATCTTCGTAACATCATGTAATGTGATGCAAAGACCTACATCTTTGTACACCTAATAAAAATACATAATGTATGACAGAGAAAGCTATCATTTTGATCAAAGTTAGATGTTTTGAATACAATTAAATAAATTTATTTCAGATTGCGCGCCAATAACTTTCTAGTAGGGAAACAACTAAAATATATAAAATAGTTCTTCAATAGCAGTAAATTTATCTTAATTAATAAAAATAACTTACTTTATTAGCGAGCTTTCTATTTAATTCATCAGCAATGACATTGTTTAATTTAGATTTAAAGCTACTTGGTGGAATCCTAACAGTATCTTTTAATTCCGTTAAAACAAACATTTTTTGTTTTAACCTTATACTATCAACAAATATTAGGCTAGATTTTCACTTGATGCTACAAAGCTCATTTTCAGCATCAAAACAAGTCACGCTTGGTCAATTTGATCACGTGACACGGGACCTGTATTGACGCTGAAAATGAACGTCGTAGCGTTAAGTGAAAACCCAGCTTTATGCCTAATTCACACTAGACGCGATGGGCGACGAGCGATATCCAATAAAAGCTGTGCTTTTTCTCACATGATACAAAGCAAAGTTCTTATTGGATATCGCTCGTCGCTCATCGCTTATCGCGTCCAGTGTGCAGTAAGCATTATGCAATAATTTCATATCAGCAGAGAGAAATCTAAAGCGAGGAGCACAGACGTTTGCATAATGCATAAAACATGAGACATAAGAAAATCAATCAGAGTCCTTTATGTTATGGCAAAAAAGGAAATAAAGGACTTTGATTGGTTCATTTTCTTATGCCTTATGTGTTACGCATTATGCAAGAATCTGTGCTCCCCGCTTAAGAAAGGTCATACCGGTCTTTTTCCTGTTACCGTCGAAATCGCCTAAAGTCATTAGATTTATAAAGTACCGCAAAGTCCTAGGATGCAGTCGAGTTGCAATTGCTTTTTGATTGGTCAATTAGTAAAATTCTTTCTTCCGATTGATTAATCAAATGTTTCGAAACATTTGTAGTGGCAACTCGACCACATCCCTAGATTTATCAGAGACCTAGTTTCCACCGAGGGTTTAAACCGGATCAGAATGTAAGAATCAACCAACTACAGTCAGCATTCCCCTGTCGTTCGACTGTAACAAGAGAATATTCGATTTGGTTCGTTCTACATTCTGATCCGATTTAAACCCTCGATGGAAACTAGGTCAGAGAAGCGCGACTGATGTTAAATGTTCTGATTGGTCATTGCAATAACGTGACTAAGCAGCCAATCATAAACTGATTTCTATGAATTAAACATGGCTGCTTAATATTGTATATTGGTGATTTCATAGTGGATTTCATAGTCCGTCTTGTAAACACTATTTTTAATACTTTTTCTAGTACTTTTTAATACTTTTGCGATACTAACATAAGTCGATTACGCTTCTCTGGGGCTCGATTGTGTATTTTGAAATGAGGTGAAAATTAAAGGGAGCAATGATTACTAGGTATTGACCAATTAAATTATGAATATTCTAATAAATTTGTTTACTTTTGTAATTTTCAGCTCATTTCAAGATACATAATCAACCTCCTAATAAATCTGTGGCTACGATTCTGTAAATAAGGAACACACCATTTTATTCATTAAATGCTTTTAAGAATGAAATTTCAAAATTTAGTTCTTTAATAAGTTCCGTAGCTTCGTAAATATAAGCCAAAACGAGTTTCATGGCGATTAAAAATATTTCTTTTACGAGACAATTATATTGTATATGGTAGAGTGCAGATATGTAGCTGCACCATAAATGAGGTGTAAATGAATTGGCTTGTCAGATGTCACTCTTGTCGACTCTTAAGTGATTCCATAGTCTATGATCTACGGGGTTCACTTAACTGATTACAAGGCAACGGCAGCCATTTCGACGCTTCTCGACGCTTTTCCACGCTCACGAATTCGTCCAGGTGAGGATCAAGCTCATTTGCGTCCGTCGCGTTCACAAATTGTTCGTAGTTTGTAATCAGCGTTCTTCTTCATGATATACTTCACTTCTGTATAGCAATTCGGTGAGTCGAATATTCTGGCGTATCACATGCCGATCTTATTTTGTATGTATATTTCGCCCTCCCCCATTTCCCAATGCCGCGTCGCAATGATAAATTGGATAACGTATCATCCTATTTATCATGCGTATCTCGAAATTTGTTTTCTTCCTCAAGAGATTTTTTGTCGCATCATGTGCTCAACGGATGAATAATCTACAGCTTATTCTGCATTATTATTTGTACGGTTTGCTCTTCTGCAGATGCTTATATGGCGTGTCAGCAAGATGGTATCGATGATATCACGAGATACTTGAGGCCGGAAAATTTTAGACGCTTCATTTGCTTATTGTTAACATTAATAACATTCGTTTGTCACCTAAGCAAAAAATAGTGAGGTAGTACGCGCTAGATTATAGAATAATTCTTCGAACTATACTTATTAGCTATTCTAACTTCGATTATGAAGTGGGCGAAAAAAAAATGGAGGATACGTTTAGAAGTCATGTGAAAACTCGAGAGAATTCTAATCGATTTCGTAGATAAAGATTTCACAAACCTTGTTGAAAAAGAAATTTGAAAAATTATGAAATCAGAAGAAAATGGAAAAATTTAATTGAATTGATAATGTTGATTATCTATTCGATTCTTAATATTAATAATGTAAAATACAATAATACAATGATTCAATTTTAATTAAAAGTGCTGAGGTTTATAAATCTTTAGTAAAAAAAAAATATATGGTACAAAAAACAAATATTCATACTAAAAAAGTTATTTCTATCTTTTTCAAGTATATATACATATTCATCTAGATTCTGTTACACCAACTTGTTACTTTTTAAATGCTGTTCTCATATATAAAAAATTCATTATTACATAACGTTTGCATTTTAGAATTATCTTTAGGTAACTATAATCATAATACATCTTAAAGATTAAAATAAAATATTTGTTTAATATAATACAAGTATTAGTTGAAACGAATATAAATTCAATTTATAATTGTATTGTAAAATTGTTAGGTACAGTGAGGGGGATCTTGATGTATGTTGCAGGGATTTAGACGATCCAGTGAGTGTATTAGGTGTCAAGGATAGATTTGGCCTCCTTGGTGGATTTTGCACATTAATATGGTGCAGTTAACTACTTTTCTGCTTCTACATTTGATTATTCCCTGATGAGTGGTTGCTGTTCGATCATCTTTGTTATCAATCAAATCTTTCGTCGTACGTTTTAGCTGAGAAAGAGAAAAAGAAAGAAGGAGAGACAGTGTAAAGAAGAAAGAAGTTTCTAAAGTCTGAAAGGTAATGTTAAATTACATAATAAATTTAGTTCATAATTTTGGAGGAAAGTATTGTGATTCTACTACATAGGCAGGTTAATTATTTATCTCCACGAGCTGTCTGTGAACGTCTATTTACATATGTATATCTCTATATATATTCTACATAGTATGATTTTACTTTACTTATACCGAGAATCTTATATACGGGTAAGTAATTTATGATCACAAATTTTTCAAAAATAATAAAGAAGTTTAAAAAACTGAAGTTTAATAAACAAAATGGATGACATGAATCTACATTTACATTTATACAATATATTTGTATATATATATATATGTCCTCCATAAAATATAAATCATATCAATTTCGTCTTTAAGTCTGATATTATTAAATATAAACTGAATTATAAGTTAGACAATCTAATATAAAATTTGGCGCTAAGAATAAAATCATAATCTCATAAAAAGTAACGACGAAATTGTACAACCATAATTTATTTCTTCAAAAAAAAATTAAGAAAATTTCGTCTTTTATTTTAGATTGAGATTAGCCTTAAAAGAATAAATTAATTTTTTTTTTAATAATATTTTATTATTAATCCATTACATTTTTCTTTGTTAAATTTAATGAATAACTATAAAACTTGGCTATTCAGTCTTTTATTG